TTTTTTTTTTTTTTTTTTTTTTTTTTTTTTTTTTTTTTTGTTTAAGAAAAAATTCCCACAACAATTTTAATTTCATTATTAGGCTTAAGGGTGCATGTTGCGGGGGAAATCTTGATTCTTATTTTTAGACTTTGCGGATAATATTGGCATAAGTTCGAGCATTCGGTCACGTTTAAGAGAAATGTTTTAAAAAAATATGAGTAAGGAAATACGTTGACAACAATTTTAAAGAAAGCTGTTATAAGCTAAAACGAGTAAGTAAGAATAACTTTGATAGCAAATAACCTGAGTACGAAGAATTGACAAGAGTCACATCCCCTATAGTAAATTTCAAGGCATTTTAGCCATGACAGGTGTAGACATGATCTTGGTGACTGGAAATACACCCTATTGACACAATAATAGCAAAGGTCTACCTATAACATGAAAGCAAGTAATATGAGTTTGGAACGGGCATGTGGTCATGTACATCACGCCCTAGACAAGTATGACCATGACATCTGACATATAGCCACAAGCAACACACTGAACAAACATGACCGTGACATAGAACAACAACCTCCGTCGTTACATGCTGTAACGATATATGCCATCACTTCGTCATTGTTGTCGACACAGGTTGCAACATCCAACATTCATCACCAGATTTATAATAACAAATTGCACAACTCAAGTAATGGAACATGATCATTCCATGAAATGGAATTAGTTCAGCACCTTTTACCTATGCACGACCAAAGTTGAGTGAAAAGCACCCTTCATCTTGTTTTTAGCAAGTTTCTGCTAAGTTGAATTGAGAGTCACTTTTCTTTAGTTTCCACAACTAAAGTAATGGAATACTCAAAATCAAGTTACAGAATGACACAAGCCGTGCCATGAAATGACAACTGACCACAAATGATAACTGTCTAACTACAAAAAAACGACTAGAAGTGACCACAAATCTTTTAGGAAGTACAAACTCAACTAAGCAGAATTTCATTCACCTATTATACAAGTTCATGGCTTAATTCGTCAAATTAAATTTACTCACCTGGCTCCGAATACATGGGGTTAAATGTTATCATACAAAATTCGTTTAAAAAAATCCAACTCTATACAAAATTCCTTCAAACAAACAACCACTGGGATCAATGCATTGACTCATTTCTGAATATCATGATGAGATTAAACAATGTTCCTGTAAAAATGTATCATCACTATACTTTCAAAATTTATATACAAGTTATCAATAGTTTTGGGTGATTTTCTTTCCTAAGGCAAAAGGAATGCTGTACAATAATCAAGTATGGAACACAATTTTTCTTTCCTTCGCTTGAAAGCAAAGTTCAATGGTCACGCAATGCTAATTAATGGATGGCAACATTGGATTCATTCCAAGACCAGATCCTCCAAAATTACCTGGTTCTGCATGCTTGACTCTTCCAAAATAACGAATATGACGTAATAGCCTTGCCAAGAACGTATTTTGACAAATCGTTGAGCTATCACATACCAGTGCTATGTGTTTTCTTGCCCTAGTTATGGCCACGTTCATCCGTCGACTGTCTCCTAAAAATCCAACAGCTCCAAGATTGTTTGACCTTACCTGTTAGAATATGCAAAGAACATTATAAAAACTTTCCATTGTAAAAGCATTATTGACACCTTGAATGCTCCATATATGACCCTTCATAAAAATTAAAATCAAGACAGATTTTTGCCATAAACATGATTTTGTGAAAAGAATGATAGGGCAGAACCATCCTGCAAGCGTGGAGAACCCTCCATACAGTTACAATATACGATCAAACAAATATCCTTTAGCTTAGCAGTTGGAGCTAACAATTTTTTAAACTCCAATCAAACAATTTTTTTCTTTAATTCAGCTTCTGGTTGAGGTTTTTCAATTTCCAGTAGTCACGAATAGCTCATCATTTAGATCAAGCAATGGCATAGAATTTTGATAGCTCTATACACAAAGGTAATGGAACATTGTCTACTCTTTAGATGAGATCTAAGAAAGTGCTAGGTAAAGGGAAATAGGAGATAGAAACGGAAAGTAGTTACAGCAAATATAATGCTGGACCCATGCGACTAACTAGAATGAGTGTGTAAACAGCTTTGGAAGGAAGAGTAAGGAGCAGTTTTGGGTAATTGACAAAACCACTACTTCGAATCTTACTGTAGTGGTATCAAAATTTTGAATTCCTTAAATAAGATGGAGAGCAGAACCCAGGCAATGGGAGAAAAGCTATCAAAAATAAAAAATACAAGAGAAAATCTCTAGTGCCATTAGTGTGACCCAGACGAAACCTTAAGGTAGAGATGATTGATGCAATAACAATTGCTTCAAGGAGAAGTGTTCTGCTTTCATGAGGAAAGTGAAAGACCATTCTGAAGCTAGGTGGACCTACATCACCAACTTTTGAGTCAGTTTAGACTGCATGGGAGGGAACATTATGTGAAATATTCCACGCCCATTGGACAACTGTGATGGTACGAGGATGTCGACAACATAGATTGAACGCTTTTTTGGAGAGTTTGTCAATGGGTCGAAGATAAAAATCTAGGCAGAAATAAGGATGCTACAATGAAACACCAGAAAATTGATTAGCTCACGCACAGGAATATCCTTTATCCTCTCAAAGTTAATTCACCAATATAATACTAGCAGAAAAGCCTGTCCCTAAAATGGAAACTATTGTATCTGCCTTAATTCATTTGCATGATCTCACTTTAGACTTGGTCTAAGCCTATTATGTAGTGAATTGAGAACATTCACACCAATAGTGGCTCATACAGAGAAGAGGCTAGAATTATTTGCAACCAACAAATGGAACTAGTACAACGGTTTGATATTGGACAAGAAGATAAAGGGAAGGTAACAATATCTATAGGTTCTCCAGAAAATGTTTTAAAGCCACGATTGTTGGAAAACATGTAATAAGCCACTCAGGTACATATGTTTTTTTTTTAGAAAAAGGGAAATTCTCAATACTGAGAATGGTTCTGCCTTGAAGAAGATACATGTGTAATAAGCCACTCAGGTACATATGTAGCAGTCTCAAATAATGTGGATAAAATGAGTCAGCCAGAGCTAGCATTCCAATTATATCAGTGTCAATGAAAAGATCAATAAAATGCCCATGTAGGTGTATCAGGGTGTAGACGTGTAATTCACACCCAGTCAGGAAAAAAAACGTGTTGCAAATCATATGTATCTTACCATTGATATGATTACTGCATCTGCCTCTCGGCCTTGGAAGCTATCAATAGTCGCTACCTCAATGCCAGCAGCTTCAGGAATTTCATCAAGCCTGTTCCTCAATAGCTGTACCTGAGCAACAT